AGACACTAAAGAACACTACTGGGACACATAGTTTTAATTTATAACATGCTGTAAATGGACATTCAGCTATTGCTGCTTGGAGAAGATGGGAGAGTGGCGTTTGATTTAAATCATCTATTTTAGTTGACAAATGGGAGTGTGCCTAAAAAGTCTTTAAGCGTTGATCATTAATTCCGTCTTGTTCAGCATAAAACTCTCACGAGCTAGAGAGATGGCTTGTCAGGTTCGTGGGCTAGTTTGTAAATCCTGTTTTTTGCACATGAAGCTACAGGTCCCTTGCTGTTACTTTCCTCCCTGACTCACCATAAGCCAAGTATGAAATTTTGATATGTGCAGTGAAGCTGTAACAAGCCAAGTCACTTGGGTCCATGAGACGATCTGACATTCTCATATAGAGAAGCCAAATAGGGTTGGGACATGGGCACTAAATTCTAATCCTGCCTTTTGTCAATGATCTATAATGTGGAAAGGGTAGATGGAGAGGCTGAGGAGGGTGCATGGAACAGTTCCCTGCCATAAATCTTCTCTAAAAAGCGATTAACGGGTTGTTAAATGATAAATGTTCAATGATGTTGTGGGGATCAATGTTCAGGTAAAACTTTGAACATGAAGAAGCTAAATTATGAGTTTTAATCAAGATTTTCTAAAAGATACTCTAGGAATGATTTTGGGGAAGGTTGATGGCCTGTGCCTAGCAGGACAGGAGGTCAGACTTTGATCACTGTTGTTCCATATTCAGAGCTTTAACTATCAGTTTTTTTAATCTGCAATTGTAAATCAAAATAATCACTTGCTTACTGCAAGTTGTCACTCCAGAGCAGGCTTAATTTTGTTTGGGTGCCTTTACTACCTTTCTTAATTTGACATATTTGGATTTATTTTAGTATAACCTTAATTCTGAATTTCTTCCCAAATAAAAAATTACAACAGTCCTGCAATATTTGCCCTTAAATTATTGCCACAAATTGGCTCCATCTTAATGTAATTTTTGTTGAGAGCTATATGATGGGGGGAGGGGGAGGACTTTGAGGGAGGTATTTGGCCAGCATTTTTAACCTAAGTTCATAACTCAGGGTTCTGGTTAGTGTTCCAAATGCTGACTACCAAATTGCAGCAGTGATTTAGACTCTTTTTTTTCCATGTATTGGGCCTGGAGGCTTTGACCTTCCCTTACAAATCCAGACCCGATCATGGTGTTTTGTGCTTTTCCTGTTTGAAGTCTGGATTTTATTGCAAGGCACTTTGTAGGGGTTTACACCTCTATATACATGTGGAAGTGGAAACTAAAAGCACATAACTCCAGAATGTAGGTGGGGGGAAGGGGGGGGCAAAGTGTTGATTTTTCCCTATAAAGCAGTAAATGATCTTGGTCTTACTTACCTGATGGATCAGCTCTTCCAAGTACCACACTGCACCAGTTTTCAGGTGTTCTAGAGCTGCAGCCCCTTTGAAAACTGCCAGCAAGAGGTCCTACATGAGAGCCCTTTGACTTGTGCATTTGCTTGCATCGTCCCCCTCCCCATTTCCCCTACTCCACACTTGTGCATTTGCTTGCATCGTCCCCCCCATTTCCCCTACTCCATCAGTTTATTTCATTTAAAACTAGTCAGCTGTAAGCTCCCTTATATGCTGCAAAGCCCAGTTGTCTTACCAGGTGTTTGAGGGGGATGAGGCAAGTGCAGGAGATTGAGGTGTTTTGGTTGGTAGGAATATACAAGGTAGAAGTTTCTGACTTGTGTGGTGAAGATGTGTTGGGGTAAAGAAAGGAAATGTTATGGTACTGTCACTCTTGCGTTCCTTTTTATGGAAAGGGTTCCTACAGCTTGTGGTAGGAGCTCTTTTATGCTATATTTAAATCAATGACTTACTTGATTGGATAATGGTGCTCTAAATGCAGAACGCAGAAACCCAAGGGGTGGAAAAGGCAGTTCTTACTCTTCCAGAATGGGAACAGAGGCTGTAAATACAGTAAATGAAGAAAACTGGCACTCATGATTACTTCTGTCTACTGTTTCCCTTGGGATGAGAGCAGGAATATGCCAGATAGAGAGAAGCAGAATGTTTCAGTGGTAGTTCAGTGCAACCAGGTCTCAAATAAACTCCAGAAGGGTGGAGATGCTGCAGAAGACTTGTGGTAGGCTTTTGGGAATGAAGCATGCATCTCCAGTTTGCCACTTTTGCCAAAACTGAGTGCACAGAGTTATTGGCAAACTCTGTGATGGCTGAAAAAGCAACCAGATTTTCATCCTGTAGATAACTGTGGAATAGCAGCCAATCTGCGCCCATGTTAAAATCTTAATTGTAGAGAGGATGACTGACTTAAAAAGAAAATTTCTGAGGGAATAATCAGGTCTGGGGGAAGCTTCTTCTCCCCTTCCATCAAACAACTGAAGCAGACTTCAGGACACAAAATGAGTCTGCTTCTACGATTTCAGTTCTAATGTTACCCAGTAAGTGGACTGAACAGTTTAGGATGACTGTTGCTGATTGATCTGCTTCCCATTTGTGAACCTTCAAACTGTAAGGATCTTTTTCTTGTTCAAAGTACTTCTTGCACCAGTGCAATATAGGTTTGAGTCTGGTGATAATTATTTGACTCACAAACAAAAATCTGTACCCGAGTTGCTAGAAGTCTGTGTTCTTGCATAGTAGTATGGTTGAGAATTTGCTCTTTGTTCTGGCTTGTTCAACATAGGTTTGCGATGTAACTACAGAGACTTTAAATTCCCTATTCAGCTCATCTGTCTGCTTCCACCTTGCCTATGGCTAAATAGTGAAGTTGATTTTGTTCTGATGAATCAGATGACTGAAGGAATGCACACAGTGGAACAGTATTTAATTTGTGAAGTGAAAGTAATAAAGGACTCCACTTGAACTGCTAAAAGTCACTACACTTAATTTCTACACTTTATCACTATATAGTTTACTGGTAAACCATCATCATTACCCAATACTAACAACATTACAGTGGAACTTAAATATTTGAAGATTCTTTGACACTCCCTGTATAGCCAAGGTGTTGGTTTTTTGTTGTTGTTGTTGTTTTTTTGCATCCAGTACTTTGTGAGGAAGCAGAAGAATAAAAGAAATGTAGCTACAAAACAGCAGTTGTGCCTCTATATTTGATTAGTCTTCATTATATTCCTGATGGCAACTTTCAGAAAGAGGATATTTAAGGGTATGTCTACATTAGTAACTTAAGTCAACCTATATTGCGAATTACTGTGGTGGTGCATGTCCACATGACCCTCCTGGAGTCAGCAGTGTGTGTCCTCACCAGGAGCACTTCCACCAACCTAAGGGGGCAGTGTGGGAAGCTGAGAGCCTAGTCATTCAGCCCTGCTGGCAATTCCCACCTGGGAGCCTGGATGCCACACACGACCTGGGCTCTTGGTGGGCTGCCACCCCCTCCACAACCCCTTTCCAGCTGGGAGGGGTAGCTGAAGGGAAATCGCTGGGGATGTCTCACCTTCCCATTTCCTACAGGGTGGGAGGGAGGGGGGAATGGCTGAAACTGCAAAATTGAGAAGACATCCAAGGTTCCCAGCTCAAGAGCAAGGTTCAGTCACCTGGGCTTCTCATGGCCTCTTGCTGTGAAATTGACAGCAGTCGATACAAGTAATGCTGCGTGTACAGAGACAGTGAGTCCCTGTAACTCACGTCTGGGCAAAATATGGTCTGCAGGTTGGATCTAGCCTGCCAAGCTGCCAGATCTGACCCACCGCCCAACGGGAGCCTTGGCCAGGCTCCCTGCCTACCTCACCCCCACATGCCATTCAGAGTGGCTGGCTGCAGGGCCCTGTGCATTTCTGCACCCAGCCAGGAGCAGGGTGTGTGGGGGAAAGAGGCTTTGCATGCTGCACCATCCCCCGCACAATCTCACAACTCTCATTGGCCAGTATCTTACTAGTGGGAGCTGTGGCAGGCAGTGCACAAAGCCTCCTCCACTTGCTGCACTCAGAGCAGCACAGGGCCCCTACAGCTGGCTGCTCTGAGGTGCATGTGGGGGCTGGACAGGCAGGGAGCCTGCCTGAGTGTCCTTAGGAGCCGCTTCTCATGTCCAGGAGCCACTTAGGTAAGCCTCCCAGTCAGAGCCTGTTTCTGGCACCCTAGCCCCTCCCTTCCCCCATCCCTCTGCACCTTCTCCTGTACCCCTACTTCATGTAACCCAAACCCTCTGCATTCCTACCCAGTGTAACCCAAAGCCTCTGCTCCTGCACTCTTACTCCACCTAATCTGGATTTATTCAACAGCAGTCTGTTTCAGAACAGAGTTTCTAGTGCGTGGCTTATCTTCTTACTGAACTGAAACTTAAGACAGAGGTTTTAAAACCCTGGGTCACAGATTATGAGAGCAAGCCACTAGCTGGCTGTGAGACGCTTTGTTTATCTGCACCTCTGCAGTACAGGTGTGAACCTGGACCCTGCTTCCTGCAGCTCCCATTGGCCAGAAACGGTGATCTGCTGTCAACGGGAGCTGTGATCCGTTATATCCGCAGAGGTGCAGGTAAACAAATTGTCTCGAAACCAGCTAGCAGCTTGCCCTTACAAGCTGCGACCCAGACTTTGAAACGCTGCCCCTCCCCCCAACTTAAGGGATAACCCATTCTGATTATGAGAATATAGTTAATACACCTACACACACCAATGACTGAGGAGCTGTCCCAGGGGAAATGCCAAATTTTACATTTCAGCTAAGGCAATTTACATACAAAAATGGAAAAAATTAAAACTAAACTTAAAAGTGGCAAAATCTGAGCTCCACTATGTTAACCCACTGTCAGTGTAAGAGTATCTCCAGCCCTGCTGTATATTTAGTGATACTGGAAGAGACGAGAGGCTTGACAAATCTACCTAGAATGTTTCATCTGCTACACTAACCCCCAGAGAAGGCATACTGCCTGTTGTATGTCTTTACCTCTAGTTTTGCTTTTAAAATTACTCATGGGAATATCATGCCTGGTCAATTGCTTGTAGCCTAACAATGTGTTTGCATTACAGGGAGCTGATTCATTTGCTCACTCACCTCTCTGAAGCACTCCATGAAGTCCAGTTTAAGCTAATACTGGTCATCCCGCCTCCTGTCACACCAGGGTGAGTACTGCATTGATCCGGGAGATGCCAGATAAGAAATTCTGCTTTGTTCTCTCATCAGCAATAAATTGAATGGCTGGCTTGAAACAAAGCAGGCTTGAGGAGCAGGAACTTTTAGCACAATGCCTTTGATCAAGTGATTTTGCATGTGATAACCTTTTTTTTTTTTTTTTTTTGCGTAATAGCTAGAATTAAGGCCTCATACAGCCCCAAATATCAACTGCCTTGAAAACCAAAGCAGACAGAAACTTTGTGACTCATCACCATTAGTGGGGTAGTAAGTGGAAGTCTTTTAGACTTCTGGCACACTTTCAAAATGTAGTAAATGGTGATTAAGAGATGGGACTAGGGGAAGATATGAAATCTATGATACCTGAGTTATATTTTGGTTTGACTTGGCTTTCATGTGTGTATCAAATGCATCTACTACCATTTACTCCAGCGTGGTTTTTCTATATGTGCCGTCAAGCAAAATATGGGGTTGGCCTTAGTGGCGCTAATAGTTGTGAGACAGAAGGTTGACTTGAAAAATACATACAAGTTCACGAGTTCTACAGGAACTTCTGATTCAGTTGTAGTAAAAAATTGTTTGTTTCTATCTTTCAGTAAATATCATAGGGAGGTTCTTTACTTCTAAAATGTTACTCATTCAGACATGGAAGCCTGCCACCATGGTAAACCAAAGTGTAAATTTTAATGTATATGGAAGGGAATTGGGCCACCTATCTTATTCTCGCGAACCTCAAACCCTCTTTAATCAATGTCTGCAAAAGCTATAACCTCCAAGTACATCACGCACTCACAGCTTACTGGGGACTGTTGTGCCAGTCAGTCCGACCACCCTGGATAGTATCGCACTAGGCATGGTGGAGCGAAGTTTGCAGACATGGCTCAATCCTTGTGAAGCTATGGGGTGGTGCTGGGTAGGATCAAGGTATGCATAGTCTTTGCACGGTAGTGAAGCGTTTGAGAACATTGTGTACTGGGGTGGTTTTGTCCAGCTGGAGACTTGGCTAAAAAGCATACAATGCCACTAGTGAGTTTAATGAATGATAGACGGAAGGTCAGATCTCTGCAAGAATGACGTCTTGCACAAAGTCAAACCAATTTATGCATAGAATTTGGCACTGACAACGCATATGAAAAGCCACTAACCCTTCCAAGTTTGCATGTACTGAATCTACCTGTCCCTACGGGCAGCCAATACAACAGCAGTATTTACGTATCAAATATAATTAACTTTGACTGCTAGGCATTTTGGATTCTAGATATAATTAATCATTAATTATTTATCTAAATGTAAATTCCTAAAACTGATGGAAGCTGGGTAATAGATTGGCATTGGTAATGAGATTGAGCCTTTATACCATATGGCCATGAGTTCAAATTGAGACCTAACCCTTATGCCTACTCCAAAATTCTGTGTGCATACTACTGCCAATATAACTATTTTGTTAGACTGCATTTATATTTGGCTGCCTCTGCCAGTGCAGTGTGTCCTCATAGCATCAGGTTTTATTGGTAAAACTTGTTTGTCACTGTGGATAGACCCTTGTTTCTCTTTTCCCCTTCCCTTTATCCCCTTCCCCTCTCCCCATCTGGTGCAATATTTTGTTGGTGTTTTTTGCTGAAGTATGTGGTGCTGCTGTCATTGATACATCACTTCTGTAGGGCATTGCAGGAACTTGGACAAATTCCTACAAATCCCTTTGGTCCCTCCTATAATCTACTGTGTTCTGTGCTGTTTTTCCACCTCTGCCAAAAATATGTGTGCCACACAAATCCCCCGAGAAGTTGATCAGCTGCTGATTCTGGAGCAGTGGTTTGAAGCCCATACTGATGATGAGATTATATTGAGTGAGTCAACTCGCAGCAACTTTTCAAAAGGGACGAACTGGCTCTTTTGTCATTCCCAAAATACATGCAACTTTTTAAATTAAAATGAAAAATTAATTCAAAATTTAAAAATCATGTAATTACTTGTGTAGCTTGAAGGCATGTATGAACCTGAATTTGACCAGTTATGATGTAAACGTCAAAGAAACATGCAAAAAGATGCAGCAGCAAAAGCCCCATTAAATAAAGTTTGTGAGTACAATGTTTCATTTATGCTATTATTAATCATCATGTCAATTATCAATAATATTAAGTTGTATATAATCAGACATGCAAATGGGCATTCTTATACGGCTCTTTGTTGATGACTTGTTCTGAATTTTTATGTAGATTGGCTCTTTGGTTTGAAAAGGTTGCCGACCCCTGCCCTAGTATCTGTACGCTGCTGACCTTATCACACAACTCCAAGGGTATGTCTACACTACCCTCCTAGTTCGAACTAGGAGGGTAGTGTAGACATACCCTTGGAGTTGTGTGATAAGGTCAGCAGCGTACAGATACTAGGGCAGGGGTCGGCAACCTTTTCAAACCAAAGAGCCAATCTACATAAAAATTCAGAACAAGTCATCAACAAAGAGCCGTATAAGAATGCCCATTTGCATGTCTGATTATATACAACTTAATATTATTGATAATTGACATGATGATTAATAATAGCATAAATGAAACATTGTACTCACAAACTTTATTTAATGGGGCTTTTGCTGCTGCATCTTTTTGCATGTTTCTTTGACGTTTACATCATAACTGGTCAAATTCAGGTTCATACATGCCTTCAAGCTACACAAGTAATTACATGATTTTTAAATTTTGAATTAATTTTTCATTTTAATTTAAAAAGTTGCATGTATTTTGGGAATGACAAAAGAGCCAGGTTTGGTTCCATACTGAGCCAGATTTGGTTAGAGAGCCATAGGTTGCAGACCCCTGCACTAGGGTAAGATTTTCTCTGACAGTGAAGAGATGGGTGGTGAGTGACAGCAAGCTCTATCTGGAAGCTTGAAAATTTAGATGGCAGTTAGTATGCAAACAATCAGTTTGGCATTCTGTGCACTCATCATCCATGTGTGCAAGGCAATTAAACAAAGATTGTCACTCTGGCAATGTGCAGAAAATAATACAGGGATTTATTGAAAACTTAACTGTGGTGGAATGATAGATGGGATGCATAGCTCCACTTTGTTTCCTTAGTCCCACCTGCCTCTGGATACATAAACCAAAAGAAGTACTTTTCTATAGTTACATAGTATTGGTGGATCACTGTTGGCCATTTATTAACATTAATGGTGATTAAGAAAAGTCTGTTATGCTTGCACCTTTAGAAATACAGGAATCTCTGATAAGAGGAAAGCAAGGATAGTTTTCCTGGACTGGCCTTTTGGCATTAATGAGGTTGCAAGACTGATGGAGATTCTTCCGTACCCCAGCCTATTGCTTCTCTGGCTCACAAGTTAACACCCAAATACTGGGACAGAAGCATGAAAAGATTTGACTATTATTTGAGCAAGTCTAAGATGGCTCTGGGGTGAGCCTTTGGAAGACTGAAGATGTCTCATCACAGGGTTAGATGGAGGAAAGGAAAGTATTCCTGTTGTTGCATGTTGTGTATTACATATCTCATGGCCATGTGTGATGTTCTCTGATTTCAGTAGGACCATAAAAATCATTGTTGATAACACTGTTGCAACAAATCTTATGCCAAGTATGACACATGGCCAGGAAGGTTTAAGTATTCTTCAGGCTAACTGACACAGAGTTTTCCTGTTAGGAAAAATATGTAAATGGCAATTAGGGCTATTAAACACTCCATAGGCTATAACTTTGAAATGCAAACCTGTATTGTTAGAAATTAATACTAATTTTGTGTTTACTTATATCTTGTTAAATATTAGCCAGGTAACCAGACAATTCCTGTATGTCTCTTGAAACAGTGATAAATACTTTAAAGTGCACCCAGCTCCTTCTTGTTTTCACTTACGGTTCCCAGATAGTTTAACCAAAAATACCAAACACTCCTCCCCCCTCAAAAAAAAGGGGGGGAAGGGGGGAGAAGCCAAAGTTGTTGAGCTAAAAAAATGTAAAAAACTCCCCAGCGTGGCCCCTTTAAGAAATTCTTTTGAGGCTTTTTGGCTCTCACAGGCTGCTGGTGGCCGTCTGCCATCTTGTCTTCCTGCTCCAGGCCAGACAGCTCCTCTGCGGAACCAGGTAAGCACCCAGGATTTTCTCTTCCTGGCCGGGAAGAAATCAGAAAATACCGGACATTTTAGGTGTCTGGTATTTTCTGAATTTTTTTACCGGACAGGAGGTGAAAATACTGGACTGTCGGGGTCAATACCAGACACCTGGCAACCCTATTTTCACTGTATGTTAATTCTCATGATGTTTAGGAAACGGAAGGTTCCATCAAAAGTCTGCTGTTAACCCAAGACTGATCGGTCAAGAAGCTGCTTGAAAAATCTCTATAAAAAAACCTATTGGGCCTTAGTCATTGTTATTTCAGATCTGCTTAAGGTTTCACTCAGGGGAAGGCTAAGGCGTAAGGATAGAGGGCCTAGTTCTAAACTAGTACCCCCCAGAATATGATGTTCAGTATTGGACTATAGCTATGGACTAAATTCTGCAAGACTCTTGCAACCACAAAGCTCAACATTGCTGCTATGAATCTGGCTATTTATTGCTTTGAGTAACCTGAGAGAAGACTAATTACAAGGGTCAGGGCAAGTTCTGTGTTGGTAAGGGAAGCTTGAAGACTCCTCTTGCAGATGAGTAATTAGCTGGTGTGTCAGTTATTTTTGGGGTGGGGAAGGCAGGCTACTGCTTTTGAGAGAATCCATCTCTCTCTGTTTTAAGACAGAAAATCTGGGTTTCCACAAAGTAGAATTATATGAGGTGCTTCTTATGATAAAGAAAGTACAAGGCACTGTCCACACTCAATTGCATGACAGGTTGCAATTGGTGCAGTTTTCATTACTGTCCAGTGGGGCTAAGTGAAAGGGATAATGCTACTGGGAGGATTGGAGTCCTGAGAGGGGGTGTTTGGCCTTCGTGAGGAATGTTGCTTTTCCTTGCTGTGTGGTAGCTACTGAGGCATTGGTCTTTGGGTG